AAAGGGCCACATATATTAGTGAATCAATATGAATCAATATAAGGTGGAAATATATATGGCCAAATCTACATGTCCTTCACTTTGTAAATCATTGGCTACCCCTCCATCAGAGGCGTCTCAATTAGCACCACCAGTCGACTGTAAAGAAATATCAAATAGATGAAGAATTACAATAGTACACAATTACAATGGCATGGACAGCGGCATTTACATACCTCTTCCAGCTTATCCTGAAGAGTATTTTCTTCTTCTCGAGTAGATCTATTGATCACATTCATTGATTTGTTCACTTAGACCATTACGTAATTAACTCAAAATTGGAACTAGAATGAAAAAAATGAACCATTATGTCACTAAAAAATGTAAGATTCTGGCTTACATCGACATTAGGTATTTCCACAGACTAGGCAGATGGAGGAGATTGTACAACATTGGTCTCACCATCAGTGACACCGACCTCAACAACGGGGTCATTCTCATCACCACTCTCAACAACAGGGCCAGTCTCTTTTTCATGGTTATCAGTGATAGCAATCTCACTTACACTTTGACTATGTTCACTATCCTCATCATCGCTGACCACTATGGTAGGTCTTTTTTTCTTAGCAACTTCTTTTCCACCAACCTAAAATGGTGGACACATCATACATTAACATTACAAAAATAATAAGTGGACAAAAGTAGAGTGAGATAAAATGATTTAGTCAGAGGACAAGTGTACCTCTGTGCAGTCTTTCGCTTCAACTCCACTACTGCTTTTTGCTCCCATGTTCTAAAGGACAGATGCCAAACCTGGATAATCATCAAAAGAGTCCTCCCATTGACGTGTTTCTCCGGCTTTTTTATCAGTTTTAACTTTCTTATTCTTCTCAACAACAGGAGACCCGGAATTAAATTTAGGATTCTTTGACGGGCTTGGGAACTTTCTACCATTGCGCAAAATGCTAATAATTTCATCTAAAAGCTCATCCTTCATTACTTTCTTCTCTATAAAAAAGAGTTCAATAATATAGGCTGTATGATCAACAAGTTTCTGCTCGATTGCTCTCAAAATCTCTTCACCATCCAACCTGCCATATTCCTCCTCTTCAGATGTACTGCCTTCTCCAACTTTCCCCTTACCTTTCTCCAAACCACGTTTCTTGGGTTCTTTTTTTCTTCTTGACTTGATTCTTTCCTATACCAGGCTTCAACCACTTGATAA